GGGCCATCCAAAAAAAGCCTTCGTGGATTTCGTGGATTCTCGACCACCCAGTTTTTTCTTTGATGGGATTTCTCGACTGCTCACATTGGCAAAAGTGTGCTGATTCGAATGGTGCTTATTTGGATTAAATCCGATGAGTATTAAGAAAGTTATGATCGTTTAAAGTGAAACACTCAAAACGCTGAGAACTTTCCGGACAACCTTATAGCAGGCGCTTCATTTACACTTGACAAGAGTCAGCACGTTTAATCGAGTTAAGAGGCGTATGTTAACATGAATCAACAAAAGAAACTAGTGAAAGTGCGAAATATCCCTCCCAGGCCCAACAGCGCCCTCCAGTTTACAGACTGTCTTGCCCAGATCTATTAGGATAGTTAGTGGGTGTATTCGCACCTGCTTCAAAGGCCCATCCTTACTGAGTGTTTCCCTTTGACCTTGGGGTCAGAGATTGAAAATTCCCCTTACAAACACCTGGTCGACTATTGACAGTTGTAAAAACCCACATGATTTTTAGTGCATCCCGCACGCCAGCGTTACTTGAACTTGCAAGACAGAGTCAACTCGTGATCATTCCGCTGTGCACTTCAGAAGAACCAGTCTCAATGACAGTGAAGGTAAGCTTTACTGGAAAAAGTACATTCATAACTTTTTGTTTGTAACCTTTATGCCTATCTAATCGCTCCTGTTCGTTTCGAATAGTAATACTAGCGATAAGATAAACTGCAGCACTCACGACATGAGAAGATAAGGCACTGACAGTTTTTTATGGCAACACTCTTCGCTGGCCAGCGCTATTTTTCTATTTTCGATAATAGTGGACTTTTTTTATTAAATCAAATAAGGGGGTGCTAGGTTGGTGAGAGAATGGCCAAAATTTGGAGGCCCCCATTTCAAGCTCTTAAAGATCTTCACTAAATGAATTCATCTGAGGTGAAGACCATTGCGTAACTTTTCACAATTTCTGAGGAAAAAAACCCCGGCTTGTCTTCTGAAATATTTTAATGAGATCCGAGATAGAGGTCGACCATGAGTAATTGAATCGTTATTGTTTCTACGCTGAGCAGATCTTCGAATTCCATCAGGGTATAAATTTGGCATTCTTATTCGAGTCCTCTGTATAAACCGCAGAATAGTCTTGCTAGTTTCGCTTTGCTCTATGTACTGTTTCTCTCGCGGAAATCTGCTGAAGGAGCGGTCCGCGATGTCGTATGAAATTGCGAAAAATTGTGTAGAAGGGTAGAGTGGTCTGCAGCCTTGTGCCAGTTTCGCGACAGAAAATCGTAAGGTAAAGCGATTGCTGCGCGAAGTGGCACCAGTGACACCTCCCTTTTTGCAGTGACTCCACCTCATAACTCCGCCTTCGAAGTCCTCCTCTGAACCAGAATCAAGGCTACAGGACAAATGGCATGAAATGCATGCTCCATAGCGTCTTAGAGATCATAGGGTTTATTACAGGGATTTAGTCTACAGACTCGTCCCAACGCAGGTTCTTTTGGACTTTTACCCCTACAATCGAGGTTTGAGGTCATTTGAGTCTTGAGGCCGGAGAGGTCCTACTAATGGCGTTTCCGACGTTCCCTATAGCTTCTCCTTTTCACAGACAAGTCATTTGACAACTTCTCTTCCATATTATTACAACATCACTACCTACGCTCGCTACTGCCGACCGTGTCTTTAAATGTTGGATATGTACCGGAAACTGTAGGGAAACACCTGTTGATCGAAACAGAGGGCTATGAAATTAGTCACCTACATATTCAATTTTTTTTCACAGTTTTTGAAACAGTATCCGAAAATGATTCGTATTCCATAATCCCGGAGCGTTGAGTTTTTGCTAAAATTAAATTAGAACGATCGGAAGAAAAGCTCATAGCCTAAAAGAGTTCATAAGATAACAAACCATAAAATGCAAAACTTCATAACCTATCTGTTTAGTTGTTTTTTTTTCTTGCTGCTCTTTTTTCTGAACCGATTGCTAACTGAGCCTCCTTTGAGGAATAACAGGGCACACATTTGAGTGTGCAGTTGGTAAGATCGCATTCAGTCGGGGCGGTGTCAGGAGGGGCGGAGTAAGCCCGACTAAGGTTGCTTTGCTCTATCAGTCGGTTCGTGATCGGTTCAGGAAGAAACCAACGAGTAGTGGAAGCGCGGCTGCTAGACTCTTTTCATCGCATTTGAAACGGCCCTGATCATTTGCGAGGATATCAGCTGTATCTTATTAACCGAAAGAGAGGAGAAACTTGCTCAAAATTAGTTGAACTTCTCGTACGTGGGAAGTGAATGAAGTACCGGAAACTTCAAAGAAAAGCGTTTAAGGACGTGAAAAAAATCATCGGCTTCGATTTTTCCCACCAACCTACATAATTCGTATCTGGGCTATTTGATTGTT